CAGTCTGTAGGGTGTGACCTTACAGTGTAGACGTATCCGTGCTTTTAGCTTTCTTACATCATGAAAATAATTTCTTGAGCGTCTAAGATTGAAAATGTGAAGGTTTGAAAGAAAACCCTTTCTGCTGTTTCCCGCTGTGCGTCCACTGGTGAGTACACGAGACTATTTTCATCCACAGCCCTTGAACACACCACCAACCTTTCTGTCAACTGGCAGGATTTATTGGTAGTCACAATCCCGTGTGACGGGAGAAGAGGGCGTGTTTCCCCCCCGACAAACACGTTAAAGAACAGAGCTTTAAAGCTGCAGGAAATTAAGAATTTATAATTGTTTTTTTTCTGTTCTATGAAAGTCTAGAGCGAGACATTTGCGCCGCCCCACCTTGAGCCACAACAAATAAAATAAAATAAATAAATGGTTTCCTCCATGCTCGCGCTAGCATTAAAACAATATCTTTTTGTATTTGTAAGTTTTGTGAAATGTTATGTTTAAATATGCAAATGAGACATTATCTAACTTTTGGTGAATTTAGGAGAAATCTACAGACAAAGTAGTAAAATCAATGTTTTACTTCCTCTAGTCTGAAAGAAGACGAGTTATGGAGGAAAAACAGAACAACATCTCTAAATTGACCAGCGCATGAAGAAACTTAGCTAAAATGTCAATAAATTTAAATGTAAACGCCCGGCATGTATTTTTATGCTGAGGTTGTGTGTCGTATTAAATATGCAAATCAGTTCCACATTAGATTTCAGCTGATAAAACATGGTTATTGTGTATTAGATTACATCATAAATCTGTGCTGGAGGCGCTCCCCTCTCACTCCATTGAGGCCTGAGAGGAGAAACACTTCCAGCTGTTTCATCCAATATTCATGCTGCTCGGTGGCATCCTGTTCGTTTGTTGTTCCAGGTTTGCTCGTTCTGTTTTATGCGCCTTCTATTATGCATGAGCGGTTAGTCGTGATTTGCATTAAGGTAACTGTCCCACCAAAATAAGAGCATGGGGGGGCTCTGACAAAATAGCAAGTATGAGGAATGACATCATTGGCTCAGTTTGGAGTCGGGTTTTAGCTCCACTGTTGGTTCTCTTCATGCAAAGATCTTCATCATGAGCATCAATGCAACATTAAAAACAACAAAAACACTTCATCCACAGTTCAGTTACTTGTTGGCTTCATGTTTCATGTAAATGATCCAAAAATATCGTCTTTAATATTTAGTCTGCCTGTCAGCTTTTCCATTGAATAGAATCTATTGAATAGATATCAAACCATTGTTCTCTCCCCGGAGGCTCAGCTTTGTACGACTGTCTTCTTGTAACTTTTATTGCCGACTGTAAGCAGAATTATATTTCCCAGATATCCATCTCTTCTTTGTTCCTATATGTGCAGCACAGCACTATCGGCACATCCCATAATGTCTTTGATATTTGCATTTATATTGTTCCAGAAAGGCTTTAGTTCAGTGCAGCTCCAGGAGACACGAGTATCGTTGGCGTCCAAATGGCGGTTTCATACGAATGTAAACTTTATTCATTTAAATGGTCAGACTGAGAGATTTGTTTTGGATTTTACTAAAATAGATCAACCAACGGACAGTTTACTAGTTAAACACAATTAATACATTAATAGTGGTAAGCTTCGTAATAATAATAAATGTAGCACCTGTCATACCAGGAATGATAATGATAAAGGTATAATAATAAACATAAAAAGGTCAAATAAGATGGAAAATAAGACACGCTTTCATAAAAAATGAAAAAATAAGAAATAAAATACATAGAATTCATAACAATATGAATAAAAACACACTGAATTCAAAATAAATTATGAAGTGCGTTCTCAACCAATCACAGTTCATCTGTTTAACTCAAGGCTTCAGTTGCTTCTACATCATCTCTGTTAGATCACTGAACTAAAGTTAGACGATGAGGAAAAACAAGAGTGTGACGTATGGGAAACAGTCTCACGCGCTCTCTGGTTGACATTATACTCTGGAATAAATGAATTACATTCTTGGTTCGATTTTTTCCATGAGGCCCTGAGGTCGGCTTGATCTGGGCTCCCAGAGGGGTAAAAAATCAGAGAAGTCTGTTCACCGAACCGTTAACATCCATTGACATTCAGCTTTGGTGCCGCATCTCATTTGAGAACAGGTCGCCTCCGGCGGAGTCCGTACGTTTGAGAGCCGGATCAAAGTAAAACAAATCCTGACCTCAGCAGCACATAAAGCCTGAGAGGCATCGCTTTAAAAAGGAAATTATGTTGGTTTGTGTGAGGGCCCAAAGTGTGAGGGCCGCCTCGCCTTCACCTACAAAATGTCACTCAAGGAGACGAGTACTAACCACGAAGAGACTCAAAATGATCACAAAACAACCAAAATGACAACAAAGAGACAAAGTGTCCAAGAAGGACATAAAAATAGACTACAAAATGACACAAAAAGACAACAAAGAGATATAATATTACTACAAAGAGACAGAAATGGGAAAAAAGACACAAAACAACAAAGCAACACAAAATGACTATAAAGAAACATAAATGGACCAAAAAAAGACACAAAATGACAACCAAGAGACATAAAAGGACAACAAAAGGTGGACTAAACACCTCTTAATTCTGTGTGTCTCCTGTGTAGGAGACATGCTGAGGTCTTTTGTATATCTTTTGTCCTATAATCCGCCCGTGTTTACAGTAATAGACCGTACAAGTGAGGCAATATTTCTGTCAAGGTTCGTCCATTCCCTGAAATTGGGACGTATGTCTTGTCATGTCCTCTCCTGCTCTCCTCGTCCTCCATTTATAGGCAGTAACACAGCTGTCACCTCCATCACACCGGGGAGGGGGTAACACATGAGGGTCAAGCAGAAAAAAGGATGGGGGGGGGGGGCATTGTGTCAGAGGAGGAGGACCTGGGGGCTCCCGTGTGACAGAGGAGAGCCACCTCCTCATAAATCTCCTGCTTTATTGCTCTCTCTCTCTCTTTCTTCCTCTCCTTCATCTCTCGCTCGATATGCAGCGTCCGCCCAATGAGACACAGATAAATCGTGTTCATTGTCTGTTGGCTGCGTCGCTCTCGCTCTCATCTCCCTCAAGTGGTTTTGTGCTTTTGCTTTGCAGGTTATAAGAAGTCAAAGGTCTGTTTCAAATGCATTATTTTTGTTGTTTTGTAATAAAAGCACATCGCCTTTAGAAAAGTGCTCTCCTTCTCACTGCTGTCTGTCTTTGTAATGGCCAATAATGGATCCAGCAGTCTGCTCTCGCTTCAAGAAGAGATACAGGAGAGTATCAGAAGCAGCACTGCAGCTTATATTATATAAATGAGTAGAAAGAGACACAAAATGACCATAAGGAGACAGAAAACAGCCAGAAAAGACACCAAAACACTACAATGAAACACCATAGAACACCAAAAAACACAAAGCGATACAAAGATACGAGAAATGAGACACAAAATGATGACATAGAGACACAAAAAGACTACAAGGAGACAGAACAACCACAAAAGATACAAAATGATTAAAAATACACAAAATGATCATGAAATGGCCACAAAGAAACACAACAAATGAACACAAAAAGACTACAAAGAGACAATAACATTGTAATGCAAATATTACACTAAACGTAACACGGACAGTTGAATTTTCATCATTTTTTTCACATTTTTTAAAGCTTCCACAATAAGATGACATGTTGATGAGCAGGACTGAAACCAGAGCATCAACATCCTAAATCTGTGACGTAGAATAAAACGATGTGACCACCAAATGTCTCTGATCCTGCTGCTCGTGACTTCCAGATGTCTCTGCTCCTGTTGCGCGTGACTTCCAGATGTCTCTGCTCCTGTTGCGCGTGGAGCAACGTTCTGTTGTGACGTATACCGGCCGGGTGTTCTTCTGAGGGTTAAAGAACCAGAAATAAACAAAAATATGCAGAAATAGATATTTTTATTGTCATTTTTTTTTATTCTATATTTATGCTTCTTCATTTTCTTTTCTTTTTAATTAGTTCTTTCTTTGCACCGATACAAAGAAATCTACTTGACGTCAAACCGGCTTCTGATCTGAAATGCAACAATAAGAAAACATCCATATTTTATGAGACAAATTAAGTTTCATGTTTCTACTACAGAACCAATAATAAGCGTTCAGTTCATAACACAACGTCTCCGTGAGGGTGAATAACGACATGAACGGTATTTTCCACTCCGCGTGAGAGAAATATGCTTTTTCTTTTTTTTTGACATCGTTACAGACGCCCGTTTGACAACCCCTGAAGATGCCTTCTGGTGCGCCTCGGAAATTACACTACTCAGGACTACTACTGTAGAATTCCTCTAGGATTTGGCTTCAGACTACTCTAAGATGAATAATGAAATATTAGTGATTATTTATTGTTGTAGAAGCTGTTAGTTTTCATGAGCAGGAATGGTTGTTTCCTCCAGCTTATCAATAAGAATAATGCACCGAGAGAGCTCTTCCTTTATGAAAAGAAAGTAGTAAAAAGTGATACAAAAGGTCAGCATTTATATTATCCAGCGAGAAAATTATGCAAAATAAGATGCAAACATTTAAATGTAGTTCGAATGACACTTGACTCTTTTAGTGAAGTTGTTTATTATATGAAATTAACTTTCATGCAACAAGTTTCACCGTGTAAAGTCAGCCTCACGCAGTGTTTTAGTGTTTGTGAGTGTGACATAATACAAAAAGAAGACAAGTTAGACGTTATGACCTGAACATGACAGGCTACAGATCTTTTTAGTTTGAGAGCGAATTTGTGTGCATGTATGAAAGTGTCTCATATATTCATACATTAATAATTGTGATCAGAGGAATGTGCAGGTACGTCCGAGGAGAAGGCGGAGGAAAATTAATAAATAGGTAAATAAAGGGTATTGATAATTTTATTAAGTGAGTTCAATAACTACTAAATATTACTCATAACAATAATAAAGTAAAAACATAAATACACTAAAGTACACAAAAGTAGGGATTCAGTGTGTCTTTAGATGTTTTATAAATCCGTCACACTTAAATTAAGTAAACTTTAATAATAATAATTATGATAAGTGAGTTCAATAACTACATAATAATAATAATACAAATAATAATAATACTTATTATTATCATTATAATAATAAAAATAACAGTAACATAAATAAGTAAACTAATTCAATCATATTAAGAGATTCAGTGTGTCTTCGTCAAACTTTTTAAATTGAACCACTTACAGAATAAATTACTGACATTGTAAATAACTTTGTATTTACAAACGTTACATCCATCAGGTGGCTCACAGTTGTCTCATTTCCGGACAGCACGTGAAGGCCCCCCGCCCCCCCCTCCCTGCTCGTCTCCAGCAGACCAGAAGAAGAAGTAACGTTAGCGGACTAACAGCCAGCATGGCGCTGCTGCTCGGTGCGGTCGGAGTTCCGTTGTCTCTTCTTTGTGTTTGCTTTTACTCGAGTATCTGACAGAAGTACATTTATACTACAACGTAGTACAATGTACACCTTCTGAGAGAGCGCGTCGCTCGTGTTTCTGCTGTGAACACAGAGAAGTGGCTGCAGTGTAGCTTCTGCGCGAGAGAGAAAAGGCAACAAGAGGAGGAGTCGTGTTGGTGAAGAAGAGGTGAGAGTTCTTCTTTCACACTTTAATCATGTACTTCTTCTCTCAGAAGTTAAAGAAACATTTATTTAAAGTGTGAACGCTGTAACAACAAAACTTCCATTTTTTGTTACTTAAAAATACGACGACACGAAAAGTAGCGAAGTTTCTTTAATGTGCTAGTTTTTAATATCTCGCGATATTATAAAACATTACTATCAGCTGAGTACTACTGTCATTAAAAAACAACGTCACGTGCGTTATCGATACACGTTTTTAATGCTGGTAAGTGTTGCATAATATTGACATATTTTACAGCTGTACACACGAGCAAGATTTGAGTTTTTATATTTTAAAATGTCTTTTTATGACATCATACAACGGGCTGATTTGAAGTTTAGGGTTAGGGTTAGGCTTAATAAATTATTATTTATTAAGCAGCAGATAAAGTGAGTTGACTTTGATACGTTCCCCTCTTCAAAGACAAATCACAGTCTCTCACTGCTGTGTTCATCCTGGTGATGATGATGATGATGATGATGGTGATTTGTGTTTTGGTTTGTTTGATAAGGGACAGTGCACATTAATAAAAACATTGCTGTAAATGCACCAAGAGGCAGATGTTACAAAGTAAACCTAAAAACAGAATATAAGATTAAATATACAAAGTTATGCAATGTTGAGCCTTTACAAAGCGCACAGAAACAATGAAAGAAGTGAGAATATTAATATAAGTAGTATCTTTATTCAGGAGACTCTTATACTACGATGTCAACAAGACAATGAGGGATAACTGTGTTAAATAGAAA